ATGAGAGGACGCCTTGAGCTGGGGACTGGGGAGGCTTAGATTACAGTGAGCTGAGATTGTGACACTGCACTCTAGCTTGGACAAAAGAGCCATACCCTGTCTCAAAAAAAAGGAAGATGCCCAGGGCAAGGTAAGTTAGGAGGGGCACAGCGCTCCCATGCCCTCTGTTGAGCATGCCACCCTCCCAGCATCTGTGTTCAGCAACCCTGGAAGCTCTTTAAACCCTGTTCAGGGTGTTTATGTAGGCTTTATTATGCAAGCATGATTGACAAAATCTTTGGCCATTGGTGATTAAGTCAGTTTCCAGCCCCTCTTCCTCCTGGAGTTCAGTGCATGAGGCTGAAAGTTCCAAGCCTCTAATCATGTGGTTGCTTCCTCTGGCAATCAGCCCTCCTCCTGAAGAAATCTAGGAGCTCGCAGTCACCCAGTCATCTCAACAACATCCCCAGATGCATTCTTACCATGCTGGAGATCCCAAAGTTCTTAGATGCTCTTGTGTTAGAAACCTGGGACCAAGACCAAATGTTAAAACAAAAGATACTCCTATCACGTCTATCACTGAGGTGTTTGTAAGAGCTTTAGAAGCTGTGTGCCAGAAACCAGGGACAGAGATTAAATACATATTTCTCTTCTTTTTTTTGAGACAGAATCTCCCTGTGTCATCCAGGCTGGAGTGCAGTGATGTGATCATAGCTCATTATAGCTTTGATCTCCTGTGATCAAGCGATCCTCCCTCCTCAGCCTTCCAAGTAGCTAGGACTACACTTGCATGTCACCTATGCCCAGCTCATTTTTGTAGAGTCGGAGTTTCACCATGTTGGCCAGTTTGGCCATGTTGGCCAGATGGGGTCTTGTTGTGTTGCCCAGGCTGGCCACAAATTCCTGGGCTCAAGTGATCCTCTCACCTCATCCTTGTAGAGATGAGATTTAGTTGTGTCACCCAGGCTGATCTCAAACTGCTGGGCAAAATCGATTGTCTCACCTCAGCCTCTCGAGTAGCTGCGACTACAGGTGCACACCACCATGTGTGGCTAATATTTTTTTTTCTAGAGGTGGGGTCTCACTATGTTGTTCAGGCTAGTTTCAAACTTCAGGCCTCAAGTGTTCCTCCTGCCTTGACCTCCCAAAGTGTTGGGATTGTGGGTGGGAGCCACCATGCCCAGCAATCACAGGGTCTTTATAAAAGAAACAGAGTAGGAGATTCAGAAGTGGAGCAGGAGATGTGGTGATGGAAGCAGAGGTAAGAGAGGGAGATTTGAAGATGCTTCACTTCTGACTTTGAAGATGGAGTCAGGGGCCATGATCTAAGGAATGGGGGTGGCTTCTAGGAGCTGGAAAAGCCAAGGGAGCACTTTATAGTCTCCAGAAGGAATGCAGCCCTGCTGACACCTTGACTTTAGCCTTAATAGACCTAGTTTGGCCTTCTGGCCCCGAGAACTGTAAGATGGTAGATTTGTGGTGTTTTAAGCCACTAAATGTAGGAAACTGCAAACTATGTTGCAGCAGCAAGAAGAAATGAACATGAACCCAGGCATGATGGCTAATACCAGTAATCCCAGCATTTTAGGAATTTAGGCAGGAGGATCACTTGAGGTCAGGAGTTCAAGACCAGCCTAGGCAACATATTAAGACCTTGTCTCTACAAAAAATGAGAAAAATTGGCCAGGCATGGTGGCTCACGCCTGTAATTCCAGCACTTTGGGAGGTCGAGGCAGGCAGATCACCTGAGGTCAGGAGTTCAAGACAAGCCTGGCCAACATTGCAAAACCCCATCTCTACTAAAAATACAAAAATTAGTTGGGCATGGTGGCATGTTCCTGTAATCCCAGCTACTTGTGAGGCTGAGGTAGGAGAATCACTTGAATTTGGGAGGTGGAGGTTACAGTGAGCCAGGATTACACCATTGCACTCTAGCCTGGGCAAGAAGACTGAAATTCTGTCTCAAAATAAAATAAAATACTGAAAAAATTAACCAGGCATGATGGCATGTACCTGTAGTCCCAGCTACTCGGGAGGCTGAGGTGGGAGGATTGCTTGAGCCTGGAAATTTGAGCCTGGAAATTTCAGGTTGCAGTGAGCTGTGACTGCGCCACTGCACTCCAGCCTTGGTGACAGAGTGAGATCTTGAAAAAAAGAAGGAAACAAAGAAGACAGAAAAGAAAGAAGAAATGAGCATGGTGAGCATGGGGACAGATGGCAATGTTAAATAGAATGGTCAGGGGTGGCCTCCTAAGTGAAAAGTGAGCAGAGTTAAAGGAGGAGAAGGAGCTGGCCAAGGTGCTGAGGGAAGAGGATTGTAGGCAGAAACAACAGAACGAAGTGTCCGAGGTGTGTCTGAGGCTCTGAAAGGAGGCCAGTGGAGCAGAAGGAGAAAGAGAGAGAATTAGGGGAGGGGGCCAGGAATTTGCTGGGTGGGGATCAGTACAGATCACGTAAGCCCCAGGAGGTTATTGCTGGGGCTTTGGCTTTGACTCTGACTCAGATGGGAACTGCAGGAGGGTTCTAAGCAGAGAGGCAACATGATCTGTCTCCCGGTTTAAAAGCATTCTCTGGCTGCTGAGTTGAGAAAGACTGTGGGAAGATTTGGGTAGAAGCATGGGGGCCAAACTGTGGCAACGTCCAGGTGGGAGGTGATTTTTGTCCTGACCAGGGTCATGGTAGTGGTGAGAGATGGTCAGAGGAGAAAAGTAGGGGAGGTGGCCCGGAGGCTGCTGGGTGGGGATCTTCAGTACATGCTGAAGATAGTCAACAGGATTTCCTGACAGACTGGATGTGGGATGTGACAGAAGGCACGGGTCAAGGTTGAGTTTGATTCTTACTGAACTATTAAGAAATTTTAAAAAACACTACTGCCTTTCCCAGTCCTGCCAAGTATGGGATGCTAGATTAAAGAAGTCTCTTCAGGCTCATTGCAGTGGCTCATGCCTGTAGTCCCAGCTGTTTGGGAAGCAGAGATGGGAGTATCTTTTAAGGGCAGGAGTTCAAGACCAGCCTGGGCAACATAGCAAGACCTACTCTTTACAAAAAAATATTTTTCAAAATTTAATAAAATAAATGTAGCTGGACATGGTAATGTATACTTGTAGTTACAGCTACTCCAGAGGCTGAGGTGGGCAAATCACTTGAGGTCAGGAGTTTGAGGCCAGCTTGGGCAACATAGCAAGACCTCTCACTCTACAAAAAAGATTTTAAAAATAGCCAGGCATGGTGGCACTCAACTGTAGTACCACCTGCTGGGGAGCTGAGGCAGGAAGATGGCTTGAGCCCAGGAGGTCGAGGCTGCAGTGAGCTGAAATCACACCACTTCACTCTAGTCTGGGCAAAAGACAGAGGCTTTGTCTCAAAAAAAAAAAAAAAAAGTATTATATCAACATGTAATGATTTTATTATTAATATGTAATTAAAAATATTTTTAAAATTTTGTCTTGTATTATATCAACATGTAATGGCTTTATTAATACGTGATGAATGATATTTTTAAAATTTTATTGTCTAGTTTTAATGTAACTATTTATATAAAGAAATAGTTTTAGATATCTTCCATAAAGTTAAAAAGGTAAAGGGATGCTAGACCCCAAAAGGCTGAGAACTTCTAGTTTAGAAATATTCAGAGTAAGTCACATACAACTTGCTACTTGAACTATTTTTTTCTTTCTTTTTTTGTTTTAGGAGATGAGGTCTCACCCTGTCACCCAGGGTGGAGTATAGTGGTGCTATCACAGTTCACTGCAGCCTTGAACTCCTGGGCTAGGGATCCTCCTGCTTCAGCCTCCTGAGTAGCTGAGACTATAGGTATACATGACGACACTTGGCTAATTTTTAAATTGTTTTGTAGACATGGAGCCTCACTTTGTTGGCCTGGCTGCTGTCAAACTCCTGACTTCAAGTGACCCTTCTACCCCTGCCACCCATCCTAGAGGTATGAGCCACCACAACGAGCACTTGTTCAATTTTCTAAAAAAAAAAAAAAATTTCTAAAGTAAGGCTGTGGGATGATGGCAGGAAGATAAAAGTAGAAAAACAGAAGAATAAGTTCAAGTGGCTTATTCACACATATTCTTTTGACAACAAAAAGAACTTTTAGTATATATGTTCCTTACAAACAAACAAAAGCTAAATAAACAATGTTGTATGGGAACTTCAACACACACTGTACAATATTCCCACTTTGCTGACATCAATTATGGAAATTCTTTGTGGTTTACTTGACTATCACTATCAGTATTTTGCTTCTTGGATCACTTTTATCAACTTCCTCATCTGTTAACTTCTCTTCAAGGTACGTCATATCATGACATACTGCTGCTGCATGAACATGACCAGTGTCTTCCTATTAAACATGTAGAATGCTTTCCTAATTTCTTTTTTTACCCTCTGTCTGTTTTGCATATTTCTTACCTTTATTGTCAAACTCCAGAAAGTCAGTCGTACTAATTTATCACCATTTGCTTCATTAATTTATACTTTGCTTATATGGAATTTTGCCCAACAGGCCTCATTAAAATTTCTAACCTGTTTGTTTTGTTTTGTTTCTGAGACAGTGTCTTGCTCTGTTGTCCAGGCTGGAGTGTGGTAGTGCTGTCACAGTTGACTGCAGCCTCAACCTCCCAGGCTCAAGCGATCCTCCCATCTCGGCCTCCCATGTGGCTGAGACTATAGGTGCTTGCCACTATGCCCAACTAATATTTGGAATTTTCCTATACGTGGGTTCCAGAGGGGTGACGGCGAAATGTGAGTAAGCATGGATTTTGGTATATGCAGGGATTGGGGGGCTGGAACTAATTCTGTCTGTATACTGAGAAACGACTGTATCTGTTTTTACATTGTGCTGTACGGACCCTACTCGTTGCATACGCGCTTGCAATCACATTCTTTAACTGACGCTGGAATAATAAAATATTGACATAAGTACGCGGCTGGGCAGGCTGTCGGTGCTTACCCGCCGGCGCCCGTCTCGCACGCCACCGGCGGCACCCGTTTGGGAGGCTGGACGGCGCGACATGGCCTTGCGCGCTAAGCGTTTTGAGATACATCCGGAACAAGGGCGTCCCATCTATCAGACACAATGTGACATGCATTACCGCTGCTTCCGGGAGGCTGAGACTAACAGTGAGTCTCCGATCAGGCATCTCACTCGCAGCCTGCGGTGACGAGCTCGAGACCCTGCTCTCCACCACAAACCAAGTCAGCGCTAACCATCAACTGACTTTCCCAGACATGGCCTATTAATACATCGGTTTAATCCTTCTTATACTTGTCTTCTCTTCGTTAACTACTCCTGTCTTCAGTTCCCTCACGATTTTCCTCGTGTTTTACCGATGCATGTTGTTTGATTGCATTGTCCCCCAAGGTATTTCAGAAATACGATTCTGTGAGTCCTGGTGACATGGACCATTCTCATCTACCCTTCGATCGTAAACTTGACAGGCTCTCTGGGTGCCTCCAGCCACTAATCTCAGCCTTTGGCCGGCTACCGCCGCGCGGCATTCGCTTCTGCCGAGTTGCGCGAGGCGTTTGCGTATCGGTGAGACCCTCGTCCGTCTCTTATGTTTCTCCAACTGCTCGCCTTCCTGGGCAGGGCTTATATACAACTTTCACACGCTCATAGTATAAGAAAGTGCCTTTCACCTGCACCTCTCTCGCAGCCACGGGTACTCTAATCCTTAATAAGTCATTTTTGTTTGATTACTTCTTACTAGGTACCAAGACCTCATCTTACTTTACTTGTTACCATTTTGACTCCTTTCC